CAATTTGAACTGTATTTTGTAATTTTTTAAAGATGAATTTACTTTCTTTGAGTTGGTGCATGCTTCTTTGGCCAACTCTTTTCTCCGCCGCCATTTAATTGTACCACTATTAAATTTTATCTTCATTTTAATGGTATCTGAAAATAATATTGAAATTTTAAAACATAATAAATTTATATTACATTAATCAAACTTAAACCAATTTATATATTGAATTGTACTTCAAAAAAAAAATTATTTACCAGAATAAAAAAAAATTCTATTCTCAAAGTTACAAAATGTAACTTATAGAAGTTAACGTACAAAGGCGCAATGTATTAATTTAACAAAATGATAAGAAATAGTTCAAAATAAAATAACTTAATCCTGTTTGATACAATTCAACTAAAAAAGAAGATAAAAATGAAGCTGCTAAAAAGCAGAACACTAAGACATAGCTCGAAAACTCGTAGGAGATAAAAATGATTGACTTGAATCAATTTGATCAAGCACGCCCGACGGAGGGTAAACTGCATCATTAAATGACGTAATCTTTATAATGTTGGATTTAGGTTTGGAAAATTAAAGAAATTAATTTATTAACATAAGTTAACTTTAGCTTCAATTATTTCAACTTTCAAATTGAATTTAGAGTTATTATAAATTAGAATTATTATTTTAATGTTTTATTTTGGTGTTTAAAAAATATATTTTGAAAAGGTGAGGCCCCAACAAAGTTGGAAGTCCTTGACATATGGCCCATGTGGCTCCCCTCTGATAAAGCCTGCTTATCTATCTTATTTAAACCTACCCATTTTTACAGGACCCAAACATGTCTAAATTTTTATAAAAAGTCTAAAATAAATTATTTACGTTTCATTATAAATAAAAAAACGCGGGAAAATATTTTACACTAACACTCATAAAAATTCATTAATTCTTACTAGATATGTTTATCGCTATCATATGTTTCTTAACAAATTAAATGTAAAAAATTAAAATTAAAAAAAGATAGAATTGGAAAGACTTAAAATTTCAAAATTTTGCACATTATAGTTTTTTCGTCTATTCAAGGTACTTCTGGTTAAAACAATTAAATTTTCTAAAAAAAATTGGAAACTAAATTAAAATCTAACAAATTTTATTTAAACTTAATTTTTTTTCCATTTTTCAAACTTAAATAATCAAAATATAATAACAATCTTAAATTTGTAGGCGATGATAAAACCCCGCTTCAAAATATTGTTTAAAAATTCTGGCCAGTATGGGGATCGAACCCACGACATTCGCGTTATTAGCACGACGCTCTAACCAACTGAGCTAACCGGCCATGTTAATTACGAAATTTAACTTTATTATATCATTTTAAAAACACATCTCTGGTCATTTATATTATGTTTTTATTATATTTTTAGTATGTTTATACTAAATTTATTTATACTGTATTTATAATATATTTATAATATATTTATAATATATTTATAATATATTTATAATATATTTATCATATATTTATCATATATTTATCATATATTTATCATATATTTATAATATATTTATAATATATTTATAACATATTTATAATACATTTATAATATATTTATAATATATTTATAATTTATTTATAATATATTTATCATATATTTATAATATATTTATCATATATTTATCATATATTTAAAATATATTTATAATATAATTATAATTTATTTATAATATGTTTATAATATATTTATAATACATTTATAATATATTCATAATATATTTATAATATATTTATAATATATTTATAATATACTTATCATATATTTATCATATATTTAAAATATATTTATAATATAATTATAATATATTTATAATATGTTTATAATATATTTATAACACATTTGTAATATATTCATAATATATTTATAATATATTTATATTATACTTTTACTATATTTATATTATGTTTATATAATTAAATAAAAACTTTTTTTACCAATATAACTCTTTTTAAAAAATTGATTTTATTACAATATTTTAAGGGAGTGAAATATCAGGGATCGTCATAAATAAAGTCACGCTATATAGGGGGAGGGGGAGAAGAGATGATTTTGTGACGATTTGTTACCAGGGGAGAGGGGTTTCTGATTTAGAGACGCAACCTTTTTCTTTTTTCAAAGTTTTAAATCCATAGAAGACTTTGACCAAACCACAACCTGTAGTTTCTGACCAAACCACAACCCTCAGTTGATGTATCTACATGTTGATTGTAAAATCAACTGCGCCTTAATCTTACTTAGTCGATGTGTACACACATAGTCGGTGGGGGAGGGGGTCAAAAAATGTCAAATATTGCGTGACGCAATTTATAGACGACCCCATTAAACTCCCTTGAAATATTGTAATAAAAATCAACTTAAAAATAAAGAGTCTAAAAATAAAGAATCCCTTAATAGAAGTTTTTAAATAATTATGTAAATTTAACTATTTAAAGACATCTTTTAAAATTTATATTATGTTTATATTATATTTATTTTATATTACATATATTATACATGTATAATATATGTAATCCCTGGAACTGTCACTGCAGTGACAGTTCCAGGGAGCAAGGGGATGGTAGTATGTATCTACGACCGCACTCTTCACCCTACCTCATCCCACCAGAATCTCAAAGATATAAAATAAAAAAAAATTAAGCAAAGTAGTATATAAATTATACTGAATGATAATTTTGTGGCAACAATAAACATTATTAGATAAAAAAATTATTAAATGTTTATTGGGTGCAAGTTGTCACTTTGTATAATAAAGTTTAAAACTTAATCCGAAAACACATGGAAAGTCCAAAGTTTTTTCAAATCAAAAGATAATCAACAACTTAGTTGCTTAGTGGTTTTGAAAAAAATATGGGAGTTACCCATTAGATATAAGTATCAACTTCAATCGTTGGCCTGATAGTTATAACTTTAGTTCGCCGAGCAGTTATTAATGTACTTTAACAATTTTTTCATGTTGATGTAAAGGAAAAAGCAGACTCAAATAGGAATAAAAAATTACTTTTAAACTTGTTAAAAATATTTCTTTTGAGAATTTTTGGCAAAATGTAAAGATGTTCCACTTGCAAAGTCTAAAGTGAAACTGATGTAAATGAGACTTTTTTTTATGCTAGTCCACTTAAAAAATATCCATTTAAACAAAATAAAATACTAAATGGGTGTTTGTTATGAAAAAATGTTATATATTTTACCAATAATATATTACTGTGTAACTAGAATGTTTTTTTTATTAAATTTTAAAACAAAACAAGGCGTTTTTGAATAGGTTTTGCTTTTACAAAAAACGCATTCAAAGTTACCCCATTTGCGGGTAACTTTGAATGACTATTTAAATTAATATTATACAAAATACTTTTATTTAAATATTATTTTGAATTTGAATTATGTAAGAGTCAATCTTAGCCCCTATATTCACTTTGTTAAATTTCAAATATTGTCAATAGTGAAGGAAGATCAAGTAAAAATATCTTAAAAACGTTCAAAGTAACACCACAATACAACCAGTACAAGCACAATGTTTTGTAAAGGAAAGTTTAACTAAAAAGTTTAACTTCATTTCGTTTCGTACCGGTTGTTTCGCACTTTATTTATCATAATCTTATTTCGTTTCGTACCGGTTTTTACAAATCAAAACTTATTGTTTCGATTTGTTCCGTATTTTTCATGTAACAAAAAAAAATTTGTTTCGTTTTGTACCGTTTTTTTGCAAAATGGTAAAAAATTGTTTCAATTCGTACCAGTTTTATCGAAATAATATTTTCTTATTGTTTCGTCTTGTACCGTTTAGAGACGCAGATGCTTAATAATTATAACTAAATATAAAAACTATAATATATGAAGGGTCAAGAGAAAAAACGATGAAAGTCCATTTTTTCCAAAAATGAGTGAAGGACACTATTTTGTCGCTTGTAAGATATAGTATTCAAATACGGCATGGTTAATAGGAACCCTTACGGAAAATTCCCATGAAAAAACCCATGAAAAAAACTAATGGAAAAACCATGGTTATTTGAAACACGTTTTCATGGGAAACCCATAAGTTTTCCATGGGAAATCCATGGAAAACCTATGGGATCTTCATGAGTTTTTAATGAAAACCCATGAGTTTTCCATAGAAAATCCATGAGCTTCCTATGGGAAACCCATGAGTTTTCAATGAAAACCCATGAGTTTTCCATGGAAAACCCGTGAGTTTCTCATGAAAAATTCCATGAGTTTTTCTTGGAAAAGTGTTCCGAATACCATGGATATTCAATGAGATTTCCATCCATGGAAAACCATGGAATTTCCATAGGTATTAGGAACACCTTTTCAAGGAAAACTCGTGGATTTTTCATGGTAAAAAAGCATGATTTGTTTTCAAGTTTTTTTGATCTAATGTTATTTGAATTGTCATATTAAATCATAAAAGCAAATTTTATCATACTAATATTATTGAGTATCTCTTAATCTATGGGATCGCTTTCTCCGAAAAAAATCAATAAACAAAATAAAATTTAAATCTTGTTAAATCCTAAAAATCTTTGAAAAATAATAGCTATAATTCACCAAAAACATCAAAACTTGACTTCCCCACAATATTTAATGCATGCATATGTATAACATACTGAAAATAAATAAAACAAAAAATTACAAGTAATATAATACTATAAGTGATATACATAATGATAAACAATTGAAATATATCAAGAAAATTTTTTTTACAGTTTTCCATAGAAAATCCATGATTTTTTTACAGTTTTTACAGAATAAAACAATTTACATGTTTATTATTTTATATTAACTATTTGATAAAAATAGTATATATAAATTTGATAATAACTTAAAGTTTTAACAAGTTAAAAAGAACCATCAATACAACATATTCAATCCAAAAAAAACATCAAGCCCATTTATAAGTGCAACTGCATTGTGTCTGTAGAAACAGGTAGATGTCAAACAAAGAACCATTCACATTTTGATATTCATTATTTTTTCACCGTAGTTAGTCTCATTCTCCATTTCACCAATCTAGACAATACATCATACAATTATTATATACATTCTAACTAGTTTTCTTTATTTACTGATTCATTTTACTAATAATTATTATCTATTATAACTTACTTTATAATTAGGCATTATACACAATTATAAATGTTGCCAAATGTTATGTAACATTTATATATAAAAAAGTAGCAATGAATATATCATTATTTATAAATAACAATTATTAGATTATTACCTCTTTTTCGCCTAAGCTATCTGCATTATGTACAACATCGTTTATATTTCCAGTCAAACATTCCTGCCTATAATGTAACTTAATTAAAATGATTTATTCAAACTAATACATATATAAATGTTACCTGCATGTTAGAAACATTTATATAGATTAAGGGAGCAACAAATATTATATCAAATATTTATTTTTGTAATTAAAAAAAAAAACTTACTTCTTCTTCTGAGCTATCTGCATGATGTACAACATCATTTACAAACCTGTTTTCTTCACGTCCTTACCATCTTTAAATATATTATAAAGCACCGGACTTGTTAATGAACGGCTAAATAAATAAATTAAAAATTTATATTGCAAGTCAAACCTGCCTGCTAATAATGTAGTAATTTAAATGAAATGATAAGCTTAAAATGAAAAGATTTATACACATATATAAATTTTACCTGCATGTTAGTAACATTTAGAACAAGACAGCAACAAATATAGTATAACTTATAAATTGTAATTTTAAGTAAAAACTTACTTCTTTGTCTGAGCTGTCTGCATGATATACAACATTATTTATATTGCCAGTCAAACTTACCTGCTTATAATGCAGGTAAGTTTGACTGATTAAGATAAAATGATAAAGTTAAAATAGAAGAACTTATGCACACACCATTAAATTCAAAAATTTATTATATTTTTACTTTACTATTAATAACATAACAAATTTATTAAATATGTAATTTATAAATGATAGTAATGTAAAAGCATAATAAATATCAAAGCGTGTGCATAAATTAATTTATTTTAACTAAAGACGAGCACTTTACATTAGTTAAATATAAACAAATAAAAATAATTGTATTTTAATAAATAATAGTGTATTATTTATAAACATTGCTTTTATATACTTATTGCTTTAATATGCTTATTATATATAACATTGCTTTAATATGCTTATATTTAACTACGAAGTAAAATCTTGTGCATTAATTAAATTCCTTTTCTGATACTTTTAAAACATTACCACAGTTTTCGTTCTCCAACTAAGTGGTTCTTGGAACATTCTTTCAAGTTGAATCCCAGAGATTACGTTTATATCTTTTCTGGTTAATTTGAACTCAATTCACTATTTTATTTTGACAGCTTTTGAACTATTTAAAAAAATATTAAATGCATATAAAAACTGACGATGTTATAAACAATATAAACGATGAACAACATTATTTATATTGTCAGTCAAACCTGTCAGCTTATAATGTAGTTATTTGAATAAAATAATAAAGTAAATATAAAAGAATTTATAAACAATATTTATATTACATTATTTACATATTCTAATAATTCTAAAGAACTAAAACTGAATTAAACATTTATCATAAAAAAACGTTTTGTAATACTTAATGAACATTTACCGTACAATTAACATCAAGCATTTTTATGTAATCTGAGGATGTTATTGAAAAAAAAATAAAAAAGATTATACTAGTTATCCTTTGTACATTAGTTAAATCTTATTATCTTATCTTATCTTAGTTATCTAATCTTATCTGATATACTGCATATATATTAATATTTTAGATAAGTTTGTTTAATATGTTATATAAGTTTTATAATAATAATAATAATAATTATATAAGTTTTAATGTACATTAGATTACACTATGTACATTAATACACTAGTTATTTAATGTAGATTAAAACTAAACGTTTATTTGTTGTAAACCAAATAATAATTATTTGGCAAGTAATTTGCCAAGTAAGCATTAAAATTTAAACCGGTTTACGTGACATACTTGCTATACTATTGCAAGTTATGCAAAGCTATTGGAAACAGTTAAAATAAGTATATCCATAAATGATATAAAATTAAATATAATTAAAAATAATCCATTTTATAACTCATTATAATATGATAAATATATCTAGTTGCTTATGTCTGTATGTTTAGTTTGAATCATATAAATGTGATGCATTATAACAAACATATCATTTATAGTCTTATTAAATACAGAAAAACAGAAGAATGCGGTAAGTATTGTTTACTCAATCGTTACTGTACGAGCTATGACGCCATCTTTAATAGCGCATTCGTAACAACCATGGCGCAGCATAAGCTATGAAAAAAAAACCATGGAAATTCCATGGGGTTTCAATTTTCATGAAATTCACCCATGGAAATTCATTGTATATTAATAAGATACAATGACATTGCTAATGTCATTGTATCTTATTAATATACAATGACATTAGCAATGTCATTGTATATTAATAAGATAAAGCAAAATAAAATTTCTTTTAATCTTCTTCCTTTCATAATTACAAATAATCACAATTAGTTTTTATACAACATATTTTATTCATTTATTTTTAAAATATAAATTACTGCTTAATAAATAAGTAGAAAAATTTTAGATATTAGTTGTTTATGATCATAGGTTTAAAAAAAATTTTTCTATTAAATGCGGGGCCTCGAGACTAGAGTAAACCTGCAGTACGTACCCAGAGTTTTTAATTTATAAGTATGGCCTACTTAAATATATGACCTTCTATTTTCCTTAAATCGAAAAAAAAAAATGAAGTCAAGTTGAAAAGGCAAATGTTATCAAAATATATAAATTATTTTAGGATTAATTTTAAGTAAGAAAGTCTGGCACCGGATGCAAATTTTTTCTTTGGTTAAATCAAAATATTACTAAACGTCACAGAAGTTTGTATACTTAACTGTGGATTTTTTTAGTAATATATAATTATTATGGTTAATAAATGCACTGTTGGTTTTACCTCTTTTTAAAAATAGTAGACAATTCGTTTATCTCTAATTATATTAATCGTGAAGTAGTTCCATTTTTTTCCTTTCCGAAATCTTATCTAAACTTTAAAAGATGATAGTTTGAGAAAGTTATAGGTTAAAATATTTTAAGGAAAGTTTAATGCATAAAAGAGCATCAACAAATTTAAACCTGTTTCTAAAATATATCCGGCTAGTAAACCAACTGCTTCTCTTCCAGCTTATCATGACAAAGAAAAACACCAATTAAAAGAATATTAAAAGAGCTCAGCCGAACGCTCAAAAGACGTTCTTTTGAGCGTTCAAAAGGCGTCTTTTGAGGACCAAATGCTGACTAGGAAGATGAATTCGCCGGCTGGGAGGATGAAAAAAATCAGAAATTTTTATCAAATAAAATTATTGAAGATCTTAATTTTTATACAGTTGCTGATTCACTGGCAAATTTTTTATTTTCGAAATTTGGTGATTGGATTTTATAACTTATAAAATTATTTGAAATGAAATACTCATACCTAGGGTTGCCAGGTGTCTGGCTTTTACAAAAAAGAACACAGTAAAAAAAAATTATTTTTACAGGTTTGGAGCTGTATTCTCCTCTGTTAAAGGTGGGCGTCTGGTTACTTATACCTGAAGTTGCTGAACCTATTTGTATTAACAAAAATCTACATATCAAAATTTTTAATTAAAATTTGCTTAAAGTAACCGACTATTGTTGTAGAGAAGGATTGTGCTGGAAAACTTTAACTCTTATTTTATCATCAAAAAGGAAATGTTGTTCTTAAAAAAATTTAAAGGCGCTAGTTAAAAAAAATATATATATATATACTTTTTTTTAAATATTTTTTAACTTGACTTATTTTACTCTACACAATGTGGAACACTGATTAATAACTGCTAAGACTTGTTAGTAAAATAAAGTTCTTGATATTAAAAACCATTTAACTATCAAGAACTTTATTATCTCAAGTTTTTTTAAATAAAGATCTGTTGGTAATACAAATAGATTACTTAAATCATATTTGATCGATTAGAATGAAGATTTGGACAGTTCTGTCAAATGAGTGGTGGTTTCTTATTTGTATTAAAGAAGCTATTTTAAGTTATTATTTTTGAAGATATGAGCAATTCAAATTACAAAATCAATAAAAAGAAATTGCATTTTTGAAAGTTAATAAAACTAACAAATCCAACATTACCACATTTAGAATGTTAGAGTTTTGCAATGTTCAGGTTTTTAGTTTTGATGTTATTTATTAAAGTTAGTTCTTAGCAATAGAAAAGGTTACTAACCATTTTTATGTTTAAATTGAAAAAAAAGTTGGAAAAGAAACTATACACACTGTTATTTCAATTATTTATTTTTATAACACCAGGAAGAGGGTCAGTGATTCCATTGGTGCAGATAACATTGTCACATTTAGAAAAAGACAGAGAAAAAAGAAAATGTTTTGAATAATATTGTTAACCAGTTTTTATAAATTTTTTTTAAATCTTTTAAAATTTATGTTTGAAAATACTTAAGATACTTAAAAAGCCCTTGGAAGCTATAAAATTTCTACTGACAAGCCTATAATCCATATCTAAGATATATGTTAAATTTGTTAAAGAAATATATAAGATATCGGTTAGATTTGATGTGAAAGATATTATCTTTTCCAAATCATCATATTTAGAAAACAAAAAACTGTGACTACTCTACACAAAGATAATAAGAGGTACAATTAAAAATATAGAGCATTTATTAACCATAATATTTATCTAAAACTAAAAAAAAGCCACAGTTAATTGAACAAAGTTAAGCGAAGTTTAGTGCAACGCAAAAGTTTTTAACCATTGCCAGATTTACTTAGGTATAATTTATAGTGCAGTAATTAGAATATTTTGCAAAAATTTGCCCATCTAAAAAAACTGATTTTTAAAACTAGTCTTTTATTTTTATTTTTGATTTAAGCAAAATAAAAGGCCGTGTATTTAAGTAGGCAATGGCATGAGAATGAAACTTGCAATCAAACTCTAAATTTCAAGTATTGTGATGCTTCTGTCAATTTAAAACTCTAGATATAAAAATAAAATCAAAATTTGAAGACAGAACAGAGAAATATTAGCAGACAAACAGAATTGTTTCAAACCAATAAAAATTATAACACAAATTATGATACCGTAAAAAATTATAAATAAAAAAAAACAATAAAAAAACAGATTGACAAACTTATATCATAATTTTTTTGTTTTTTTGTTTTTTTAGACTTGTTTTTTTATTTTGCCGTTTAAAAATAGTTACAATAACCAGATAATATAGTTACAATAATATATATATATATATATATATATATATATATATATATATATATATATATATATATATATATATATATATATATATATATATATATATATATATATATAATTACAATAACGATAAGAGAATATATATTTACATTTACAATTGGCAGCAACAACGGCAGGACTTTTAGAAGATTATGATAATCTTATCATGAAGCCCTTAAAAAATATAGTACATTTACTCTTTAGTTTATTAGTTTATTAGTTTATTTCGCCGTTAAAAATATTTACAAAGTACAACAATATAAAAAGTACAATTGGCTGGAGCAAGAAGAAGACATAAAATAGCCTTATCACCGAGCCCCAATAGTAACACAAATAAATATCCGTAATACACAATAATCCGTAATATATAAGCAAAAGTATTTAAAAAAGACAATTTAAAATGTTAAGAAACAAAGTTAAAAAGAAAAAAAAGAAAAAAAAGAAAGTATTAAAATAATTAAAGTAAATAAAAAAAATAAAAAGAAACGATTAAAATATAGTAATAAAAATGAAAAAAATTTTTTTTGGTTATAAATTGGATGTGATTATTATTTTCTTTCAAAATAATTCAAAATTCAAATAAAAATTCTGCTCCAATATTATAAAATTTATCTAGAAAATTGTAGGTAACTTTAAGAGAATATATATATTCAATGAAAGTATGATAAAGACATTGAAATTCTTAGTACTGTTAAATATAATTTTACTAAATGATTGTGAGTGGGATGTCTGGCATCTTTTTCTTTTTGTTTTATTTCTAATGTTATCTTGGGATTCTTCTAAAATTGGGATTGTTCTAAAACGGTGTAAACTATCACTGAGTTCTTTTAGTTACCTTTTTTTTGCACTTCTTGAAATAAGTTGAGGCACCACTAACTCATGAGAATACCTCTTTAAGAAACTATTTTTTCTAACAACAGGTTGAGCGTTCCAAAATATATTATTTTGTTTAATCTTAACCTCTTCTTCTTCATCTAATTTTTTTGAAATTCCTCTATATCTTTCAGGATTAAATAAGCTCACACTATCATCCATTTTAGAGGCAAATAAGAGGAATTGCAATTATATTAAAAAAAAAAGATGAACAAATAAAAATATTATTAAAAATTATAAATAGAAAATATTTTATTTATAGGTTAGATTTTATCCATCCTTTTGTAATAAAGACTTTTGTAACCAATAACGCTCTAAGGCGCTATAATGTTTAGGTGAAACCTGGTCTATTTGCCTCCGTTTTCACTCTTGTATAACAATAAATATTATATTAAATATATTATATCTACTTGTACATTATATAACTAACTAATATATATCGGGTTTTGTAGCCAAAATTTATTATATATCTTAAGATAAAAAAAATAAAAAACATTTCTAAAGGTTTATAAACATTTCTTATGATACTTTTTTTTATTCTATTTCTTAAGATTATTAAATTTCAAGAATATTTTTTAACAAAACACAGCGAAATAAAATAATTACTTTGATAATAAAATAGTTATTTTAATGACAAAATGTTTAACTTAATTATAGAATAATAATAATGCGCAAATAAACTTGATAAAACTGCAGGTTAATCAAAAGTTACCTTTTTTATTTTGCTGCACGATAGCAAAAATTGCATTCAAACAAATTTAAACTAGCTGTGCTCTCGCGCAAATAGGCAAATTTAAACTAGGCGTGCACACGCGTTTACTGCGGTGTAAATTGGAAAACTATGTTTGTGTTCATCTTTTTTTTTACCACTGTTTCAGTAGTTGAACTTTCTGATATTGGGGTAATCGGCCATCAGTTTCGTTGGCAGATTTTTGTTTTATTTTTTTATTTTTCTTTACAATAGTTTGTCGTTGTATAATTATATAGTTAAAATAATAATAAAATAATATTAACAAAAAGTTTTCACTAATTTACAATGATAAACAATAAAAACAATTAGGGATCATCGATAAAGTACGTACGCTCGCAGGGGAAGAGGGGGTCTGCAAATGGCGTGTATGAGATGGGAGGTCAATGGGTCAATTATAAAAGAAAGGAGACACTAAATTAAAAAAAAATATCATAAAATGTTAAATAAATAGGTTAAAAGTGTGTGCGTTTGTGTGTGTGGGAGAGGGGGGGCTTTTTTAAGGTTCTCTCAATTAACGGGTCGTACTTTATGGACGACCCGTTAATTGAGAGAACCTTAAAAAAGCCGCTTTTAAAATGCGGTACCGTTTTTTTAAAATGCAGTACCGCAAATGCAAGCTGTTTTTTTAAAAATGCAGTAGCGTAAATGTCAATTTTTTAATGCAGGTAATAAACTTTTTACAATGACGAGGTAATAAACTAATAAACGTCTTAATATGATGAAAGAAAATAAACTTTATAAATATATATACGAATTATATAGGGTAAACTGGCTTAATATAAACAGTAATACAAATAATAAGAGGAAGTGTTTCAAGATAATACAAATAGTAAGACATAGTTACATTTTAAAAGAATAAAACTTTTAGGTTTAGCTTTAAACACAAATAAAAAAGAAGACAAATCAAAATTTTGCAAAGTAATTTTGTTCAAAAGATATTGTGCACAATAATCAATACAAAACTAATTAAACTTGGTTCGAAAAAAAACTTGGTTTAGCAAGTCATTATTTCTTAGTGTATATTTAATGACAGAATTTAGAGTAAAGATATTTTTAAAAATGTTATACAAAACATAAGATATTGAATACATTTAATTTATATATATATTAAGTAATCTCATTTCTTGAATAAAAACTTAGAATGATTAAGACTATCTTCAAAAATAAGAAGAATTGCGTGCTTTTGACAATTACAAAGACATTCCATTTTATTTTTATCAGTACTTCCCCAGGCAATATTTAAATAGCTTAAACAATTATGGATAAACGAGTAATAAAGCTGGGACAACGAGTAATAAAGTTGAGGCCACGAGTCGTAAAGTTGGGACGAGCTCTTTTTGTTTGAATAATCTCTAGTTTGTACAAAATTTTGATATTTATATAAATTTCGATAGAGATGTAATGAATGTCATGTTTCCATGTAATGTGTAAATCAAGAAAAACCTTTAAAACTTTGTAAAGCAGTCTATTTTTATTTTAATTTGGTCAATAAAAATTGAAAACGAATTTATGGGTAGAAAACGCTCTTTTTTCAGAAAATGGAAAATTATAATTTTTTTAATAATATTTATAGATAATTTGTTACATTTGAATCAGGAAGAAATGTTTTTAAGCTTATCATTCATAGTAGAAAAAAGTTTAAAATTATCATTATTAGAAAGAAATAGTTAGCGTCGTTTGCTAACTTAATACTAAATAGAATTAGGACTTTATTCAAGTCATTAATATAAATCAAGAAAAAAAGTTGTCCTAATATAGAGCTTTGTGGAACAACTCAGGATATATATATATAATAATTTCTTTTGATAAACATCATTTCAGAAATCATTTTGTATCCGGTTTGAAAAATTAACTTTTGAACCACTTTGTTACTTTATTATTTATTCCATAGAATTTAGCTTATGAAGTAAGATGGTATGGTCTACTGTATCAAATACCTTTGAAAGGTGATAAAATTATTAATGAGTATTCGAAATTTTCCAAAGAATTTGAGGTTTTACGTACGAAATGAATGATTGCATGTTCCGCAGAACTGTGTTTTTTAAGCCATATTGTTATATGATAGGTTAATGTAAATAGCTATACACTCTATTTTACAATACTTTTTCTAAAATTATCGAAAATATAGATAAAACAGAATAAATTATAAGATATAAAAAATAATAAATAAGAGATAAAATATAATTAACTCCTAATAGTTTTCTAACAAAAGTCTTCTAATTGAAGGTAAACTAATTTCATTAATGAATTTACTGAGAATTGTGTTTTTGAACTTTGTTGCAGTTGTTGAGTTCTTGTCCTTTTTCGAAAACATTTTTTTTTAATGTTTTTTTTTTTTTTTTCTTAACAAAAATTTATTTTTATATAAAACTTACTGGAATTTATTTTTATGTATTTTTATATATGATACTGTATTTATAATTTCCTAAATTTTTTTATATAATTTCCTAAATTTTTCTTTAAAGCTATTTTCTTTATTTTTTTTATTTATTTATTTATTTTTTTTGTTATAAAAACTTTGAAAAAAAAAACACTCTTTAATATTTTTCTTTTATTAATTTTTTTTTTGATTTTAATATTTTTTGAAACTTAAAGGTTTTTTAACTATAACATAAATTTATTGATTGTATAATGGCTTTAAGTGCAGATTTAAAATCCTCCCCCCCCCCCCCCCCAAAAAAAAAAAAAAAAAAAAAAAAGTAAAAAAAAAAAGGTAGTAAAGGGAAGTGATCTGTTGCAATCTTTTGCATTTTCAAAATATATATTTACTGTGTTAACAATTACTTTTAGCGAAAAATCGGAGAAATTTTTTCCTCCAATAGTAGTTCATACGACTAACGTCAACGATGTGCACGAGAAAAAAAAAGTATTTACATTTTTTTGTTTATTTTACACAGGGCCGACGACACCGTGGGGCCAGGAAGCATATGCTACCCCCCCCTCTTTTTTTTTTTTTAGGACTTTTTTTTTTTTTTTTAGAAAATTCTAGTTATAAAAGACTTTTTTTAAGAATTGACGGTTGTGCCCCCCACTTTGAAACCAGTGTCGTTGACCCTGTTACAATTGCAATATTTTAAAATTATTTATACAAAACTGTGTATTGTGTACTGTGTAACTAAGTTTGACTTAATTGTGCTTTTTTGGTTAATAATTTAAGCAGAACTATACTTTATTGTTTGTTAATACTTAAAGCAGGCTTATTTTTATTTTTACAGATTTAAGACTCTGACATTTGAAGCAGATTTATGTCTTTTGCATCTTGTAGAGCTTTATCTTAAAAAAAATAGGAACTCTTTTTTAAGGGTTGAAATTACAAAAAAGGAAACACAAAGTGTTCAAATAAGAAGTATTACATGAAAACAAAATATTTTTTGAAAACAAAAATTGCAAAGAATGAGCCTACAACAAAGTATTACACTTCCAAATCTGCTCTCTTTCAAACTCTCGGAAATTTCTTCGCCACAAAATTGTTTTTCCCCTCCATGACACACTTGTTGCCTTGACAAACCAGATTGAATATATTGTTTTCTCTCTGTCTCAAACCAGATCAAACGTTGCAAACGCCTTCGTTAAAATCATAATAACTTATGATAAATTATAACAATTATAATTATAGTTAAGAAGTCGAAACTTTGACCTTAGTTTCCTCAGCAAATCTGTATATCAAAAATTTCCTATTTAAAATCTCAAATCTTTTTGTACAATCGATTGATTTTTGTAATTTTTTTTTACCTTAGTTTTATTCCGCGTACCGATATATTTAAGTATATATATACTTAAATATATCTAAAAAACCCAATTAGATTAGTTTTTAATTTGTTTTCTCCTTTAATCTACCTTAGCGATAATAACCGCTTTACATATTCTTGGCATTCTACTTAACGACATATCTAATTTGCCTAAGTTAATTTTAGCCAATCAAATTTTCTACATCTTTTGCATCATGAGGCATTAGCTTGAGAATTTTTAAATTATCTTAAAAATCGTCCAATTGGAAAATGATTTGGTGAAACCCAACTACTTGAAAATATAGCATGACTTTTTAAAAATATCCAAACAAACTTCTTTTGTCATTGTTTCCTTCTTTTTTACAATGTCATTTGCGGCATTTTGACCAAAACTGTCTCACACTTTAACATTTCATCAAATATGTTTTACAGTTGATAATACACACTGTTTTATCATTAGTTCAACGACTTTTCTTCAGGCAAACAACCTTCTCTTAAAACCAAAGGTCAACTAAAACTTCGAAACGTCGGTCTACGTTTCCATTCATTGATGGTTCATTTTTTACGTTGTTTTGCCCACTTTAGCATTTTTATTTTTATGATTTTTATCAAGGCATTTTAATCAAATATGTTTCATTATCAAATGGTAACTGTGAAACTTTTATATAGCTTCACTTCTTTTGAGTTATATGTCATACTTCTAAAGAACTTTTGTTTTATTTTAAAATGTCATACTTCTAAAGAACTTTTGTTTTATAGAGTGGCACCCGGTAAATGTTTAAGGGTTTGAAGAACCTCTAAAAATGTTTTTTATTCTAGTTTTTTTTTTAAATCAAACTTACTTTATTATATAGAATAAAATTAAAGCTATTACCACGCAATTTTAGAATCTTAAAGTTGAGGGGCTACTTATATTATTTTATCACGTGAGCGCTAACATAAAATGTTTTAAAGTTGCAAAGTAATATAAAAATCAGCAAAATTGTTAATTATTACTTTTTGATATAAAGAGTAAATTTTATTTCAGTTAAATCAAGAACAGCTTCCTACTTTAGAAACACTGCCTTCTCATGAACAGCTTTCTGCTCAACAACAGTCTTTAACTCTTGAACAGCTTCCTACTTTAGAACAGCTATCTACTCGCAAAAAATTTCTTGCTGAAGAAAAAAACCTTTGCTCAATTGACAAACCAATAAATATTCAGAATCAAGCTGATATTAAGGATATACAATGTTCAAGGAAAAAGGTTTGTCAATTATTTCGTTCAAGATCAGCGCCTTATATTCAAACATTTCAATATTTGGAAAACCAAACACAATTAGAGTTACAGAGAAAATCTAATCTTACGAGTACAAGCTACACAAATCAAGGTAAATTATAAGTTTATTATATATATATATATATATATATATATATATATATATATATATATATATATATATATATATATATATATATATATATATATATATATATATATATATATATATATATATATATATATATATATATATATATATTAACTAAGGTTATTGTATTTTATTTCTATTTTTAATGTAATGCCACTCCATTTTTAATTCTATTTTAAGGTTGCGCATCTAGAATAAAGATCCTTCAATCTAAATTTTAGTATTGCGCATCAATACTAGAATTAAGATCTTTTATATTTTATACTGCTGAGTTAGGTGAGCATAATGATGTCATACTCACCCAACGTCAAATAGCCTGCGGCCGGGGGCTTCAGTACATACATTGACTGACAAATAGCCTGACTCGCAGTGGAGTGCTGCTACATCGACTGAGGGTTTGGTATGGGTCAGCAACCATTTTATTCATTATTCTTCGTTTTCCCTCATCGTTTTCTAAAAACGCTCACTTAATTTGTCAAATGACGAAAAATAAAATTAAAAAAAAAAAAAAAAAAAAAAAAAAAATTAGGCTAGCAAAAAAAGTGAGCAATTGCGCATATAAATATGCTATAGTAGATATATATATATATATATATATATATATATATATATATATATATATATATATATATATATATATATATATATATATATATATATATATATATATATATATATATATATATATATATATATATATATATATATATATATATATAACTTCTTTAGGGATTTTCGACGAAAGGTATTTTGCTCTTCTATTTTTATTTAACCAATAAATAAAATTAGAAGAACACGTAAAATGTCTTTTGTATCTTTTTATGAACTAAATATTTTCATACATGATGGTAGCTAATGATATTTTTAATATTTCCTATTTGAAAAGCTCAAAAGTACCATCAGTTGTTTGATTCAAAAAATAAAATTTAATATTTGCGTTAATAAATTGTTATAACTTCTTGTTTATTTAACACTTTTACACATATAATATATGTGTGTATGTGTAAAAGTGTTAAATAAACAAGAAGAATATATATATATATATATATATATATATATATATATATATATATATATATATATATATATATATATATATATATATATATATATATATATATATATATATATATATATATATATATATATATATATATATATATATATATATATATATATATATATATATATATATATATATATATATATATATATATATATATATATATATATATATATATATATATATATATATATATATATATATATATATATATATATATATATATATATATATATATATATATATATATACAGTGGCGTAGGAAGGTTTTTAAATGTTTGAAATAACAAACTTATAGACAACAAGAGTATTCCAAATTTTGTAAAGTTTGTATGTATGACGAAAAGATTCTTTTAAAAAAAAATTACTGCGATAGGAAAAAGGAGTTTTTTTGTACTATTTTTAAAAAATTATGACCATTTAAAGTTTGCAAACTTTATATGGTCATAACTTTTTAACACTAAAATATTTTGCTATGAAATTTAAAATATTAAGTCTAGTTGAAAATAGTTTGTTCATTCATTGAAAATGGTTTATTCATTCACGGTCAAAAATAAATGTACAATTTTTTTTTGACAAAGAGTAGCACACTAGGCCTCTCTTTTATGAAAATACAGTTTTTCAATTTCAGCTTAAGTAAAGCTGCCGTAGCAGAGAAAGTCCGTGTTTAAAACTGTTCAAGTTCTTTGCGTCCACCGCATTTTGGGTTATAGAATTCCATAATCTTACAATACCGTTCGTGAAGAAGTTGCTTCTTTTAGCGCAGTCTCGGACAAGTTGTACTCTTAGTTCTTTAGTGTGTCCACGCGGCTGAAAACTTTACTTTGAAGATTCCGTGTTAGGTTGAAGTTGAGGGATGTAAAAGTTAACTTTATCAATTTTGGTCATGATTTCATATTGTTCGATAAGGTCTCCCTTTTTCTTGTCGTTCAGTTAGCGTTGTCAGTTTAAGGCTTGATATTCTTTGAGTATACGAAAGGTGTTTAAGTGAGGCAATATGTTTTGTGGCTTGCTGTTGAACTTGCTCGAGTTTGGCAATGCTCAAGTTTGGCTTGAGCTAAAAACGGTGACCAGGCCTGTACTGTGAATTCTTAGTGTGGGCGAACGTACGAAATATACAGTGTGCGCCATAATGCAGAATTTCGACCTCGAAAAGCCTTTTTGAGCCTGCCAAGCATTCGGTTACTGGCTGATGCAGCTGCACAGACTTGTTTTTTAACTTTTAGATCGCTCGTCATAAAAACGCCCAGCTCTCGTTCAGATGACGTGCATGATAGCTGGTGCAGTTGACCTTTTTTTTTTTTTTCTTTATTCACAACGTATTATTATTTTTTTTTTGCTGTGTTAATATATACAAACTTTATCTTAATAACAAGATAAATATATAGCAGGGGCGAGAAGAAGACTAATACGTCTTATTGCCAAGGCCCTTAATAAATTCCGTAATTAAAAAGTTTAATTTAAAAATAAGCATTTCCGTTGATAATATAACATATACAAACGTAAAATTGGTAAAGTGATAAATAAAACATATTATTAAGGAGCAAAAAATAAAAAGTAAAAAGAACAACAAAGCATATTAAAACAACAAAAACATGACTAAATTTGAAAAGTCAAAAATGCATTTAACTCAAGCGTTTCTAATATTAATATACTCCTCATTTAATTGGTAGATCAATCATAAGGATATTTTGCTTTTTAGAAATAGTTTTGTGGTAGATCATTTTTTAGTAAAAACTGTCTAAGTTTGGCTTAAACTCTTTTAACAATGTAAGAATTTTAAGTTCAGATGTTAGTACTTTATTCCATGCCTTTGGTCCTCTAATTGAAATTGAAAACTCAGTTGCCGCATAATAACGTAAGGGTGTTACTTGAATGTCTAGTTAAGTATTTATTCTGATTAGTTTTGAATAAGAGATCAAAAGTTTTTGGAATAATACTTTTATTAATTTTGAACATAAAAATTAGAAGATGATAAATGTTTATTTGGTAGATATTTAGTATATTTAACTTAGTAAATAAAGGATGGGAGGGTGTACTTCGGTTTTTATTAGATATAATTCTGATTGCATGTTTTTGCATTTATTTTTTTTGGTACTACACCATCCAATATTAGCGTAATTAAAATAGGAATGAATAAAAGAAAAATATAAGAGTTTTAAACAACTTGAATTCAAAAAAGGTTTTGCCCTACAGAGTAGGCCAATACTACTTGATATTTCACCTTCAATATATTTTCTGACTTCTCCATGTTACATTTTCGTCGAGGAGTACTCCTAGAAATTTTAATGATACCTCTCTTTTTATTTCGCAATTGTTAATACAAAGATTTGGAATTTTGTCTCGTTCATGATAGCGATGAAAAAAAGTATATTTTGTCTTAGTTAAATTTTGAGATAATTGGTTTGCTTTAAACCATTCAGCAAGGTATAGTAGTTCTGTGTTTACAGTTTTAAATAACATTTTTATATCATTGTGAGCATAAAATAGATTAGTGTCATCTGAAAACAAGATTGTGTCTAATGCATTACAAGATTTGCTTAGATCATTGATATATACTAGAAATAAGAGCGGTCCTAGTATAGATCCTTGTGGTACTCCACAAGATATATTTATGTTGTTAGTTTTTCCGTAATTATGAGAAATATATCGCTGTCTATTTGACAGATAGTTTTTAAACCATTTAAGGTTCGAGTGTTTAATACCGTAGTTTTTTAATTTGGTTAATAAAATATGATGATTTACAATGTCAAAAGCCTTGCTGAGATCAATAAATACGCCTAAAGTATATTTATTTTCATCAAAAGATTTAAGCATATCATGAACAAGATGAACAATTTGCCTGATCAGTAAAGTGACCCTTTTTGAATCCAAGTTGTTTGTTATAAAGAATGTTATTAATATCTAAGAAATAGCACAGTCTTTTATACATAATATGTTCTAATATTTTTGAAAAGCAAGTTAGTATTGAAATAGGTCTATAGTTTGCAATACATGTTGCATCTCCAGATTTTAGAACCGGCATCACCCTTGCAACCTTTAGTTTATCAGGAAGATTTCTTGTTCTAATAAAAGACTGAAAATGTGCAGAAGCGGAGTTTTTAAATAACATATTGATTTAATTATTATATTGCTACTTATATCATTAACTCCATTACCTTTATTTGGTTTTAATAAATTTACAGCATCAAGTAGTTCTTTTTCAGATAACTTATTATTTTCCATATGATTATTATTAAAGGTTAAGTATGATTCAAAGCTAGTTTTACTATTTTTTATATTAGAGGCTAAACTTGGGCCCGTATTAACAAACGCATGATTGAAAGAATTAGCGATTAAAAGGTCATTAGTAATTTCACAATTATTTATAATGAGATTTTTGGGAAATCCATTTCAGGCCGTTCAGGTTAATTATTGTATAAATTGCAGTCAATTTTTTTTGTTGCTTTTGCTGCGCACGGTGTGCATGACTTTGCACTTGTCGACATTAAATGACATGAGCCATGTGTGCGACCACTTCACTGCTTCGTTGATATCGGCTTGGAGTGTTATAATGGAGTTTGATTTTATAGTTCCGATTATTTTACAGTCATTTGCATACATTTTAAATTGGTGTTGTATTTTGTCTGGCAAATCGTTAATGTAGATAAGGAATAGGAGTGGTTCAAGAATAGATCCTTGTAGCACACCGCTAGAGACGGTTTTCCAATTAGATTTATTGTTACAAATGGTTACGCGTTGTAGCCGGTCGATTAGCCAGCTTTTGATCCAATCGTGCAAGTTGTCGGACACTCCATATGATTTCAGCTTGTGCATGAGATAGGTTGATAGTTTGAGGGGTTCAACTTGCAACCTTTTTTGAAAATAGGAGTAACTTCGGCTTTTTTCCATTGAGACGGTACTTCTCCAGCTTTAAGGTGGTATCCAGCCACTAGTTTTATTTTTTTATATTTTACACATAATAAATACCTTTGATGAATTATTAGCATAATAGATAAAAATCTAAAACGTAATGCGATTTTTTTTTTTTTTTAATAAAAAATAATTGCTGACTCAGCAAAAAAATGTGAAAATGTTAATGTCACTAGAACATAAATATCTTAAGAATACATCAATATGAAAGGTTTAAATTTTGCAAAAAGCTAGTACACTAGTGTAGCTAGCGCCTGAACCAAAAATTTTTTAAAAAAAATTTAAACGATCAAAAATGGCTTAATGATATAAAAACTTAATGATATAAAAAACTATTTTTAGCGATAAAACACTAATTAGATATGGTAATTGTAGGTTAAGCTTAATTTTTTAAAATGTTTTTTCAGGTTCAGGCACTAAAAACATCAATAATGAACATATCCTGAAAATTTGAAGCTAAAATAATGTTTTTTTATTGAGATATCATTGTTTTGCTACAGCTACCCGTTCAAAAAACAAAAATTGAAAAAAATTAATTTTAAAATTATAAATCATGTATACTACTCAGATAAATCATTAAAAACCACCAGCACAATAATCGTTTGCAGTTTCTTTATCTAATTTTTGTCCAAAATAGTTTTTTCTAACAGATCTTAATTTTTTTTTCTTTTTTTTTGCTTCATCTGACATTTTTTTTTGTTCATATTTTTTGCCGATTAGAGTTTTTTTTACTTGCACCAATTTCAAAGTAACTACCAGATTTAATATTAAGAGTATCAAATACAGAAAATAACTTAGCAAAACCATCATTATAAGTAATGGTTGCAGAGTAAACAGCCATTACAACAACAACTTTAGAGGTGAATATAGTTTTAGGGGATCGATTCCAAATTAGTTGATTAAACACTTCATTTCCATTTTTAGTCATGCCATGCAAAAATTTTGCAAGCATATCAGTATTTGCTAGATCTTGAAATACTGGCTTGATCTTTTCCATAATGGCAACGGGTAAATTCACCTTTTTCTTGTATGTAACATGACCAGTTGCTCTATCAGACTGCCATTTACACCAGTTTTTTTCACCCTTGGTGCAAAATATATGACGATTTTCTTCAGAGGTAAAATTAGTGCAATGATGAAGTGAAGCTATTACAGAGTTCCTCATTTCCAAAAGACTATTTGAATTTTGTCGAATAGCCATTCCAACATAATTTTGCAAGATGTTAATTACTTTATCCGTGAGACAACCTTTACCAGATATACCTTTTCCGTCAGATAGTTTTACCCGTCGTAATTCTTTTCTTTTTAAAACGCAGTCAATTCCCTGTATGCTTCTGGTAATGCCCAATACATTCTAGTTTTATTGGAACAAGGTCATCACCATAAGGTCTTTGTGCAATAGCTGTTCTAAACGAGGTAGTGTCTCCATCTCCGAGGTATTTAGAATAGCGAATGTTATATTTAATTACTGAAGAGCAAAATATTTCTGTTGCACTAGCTGACTCCATCGCACCAGCTGATTTAGTGTGGTTTACTTGGCAGGAATGATTAACTTTCCACTGCTCATATTTGAGTGTCCCTTTTTTCCTTTCCAAATTTGACATTCTTTACAAAACTCAGATAATGTAACAGTATCCAATACTTTGTTGTTGTCTTGAGACGTTGCTACCACAACACCGTTCAAAGATGAATATCCTCTCCGCTGCCAGGTACCATCAATAGAAACACCACAATCAATAACATCATTCATATTAGAGTCAGGTTTCAGTATTCTCCTAACTTCCATAGCAGCATTTTTCATACTTTGTTCAGCAACTGATTTATAAGCATCGTAAAGTTTGCTATTAATACAGTCAAAACTAGGTTTTGATAAAAGTGGTGGCATGTTCATTATGGAGGTAAAAGTTAACGTTGCATCTCTGCCTCTACCAATCTCTCTTAATGCCATAACACTGCGTACATTAATTTCACTAGTATTTATACCAGGTTTATTGTTTTTGACAACAGAAGAAAAAAATGCATCTTTAAAAGCACAACCACTGCAATAAATTTGAAAAAATAAAGAAAAACCCAAGTGTCTTGAATGATCATGCAACATGGAAAGCTTTGTACCACATATATTACAAGTAGCATACTTTTCAAATCAACTTTTCATTTGTTTAAAATGCATAAAAAATATAAATTTGTTGTTATCAAATAATATTTTTTCAAGATTATTTTTTAGCTTTTTACTACCTGTAGAACTTCCTGTGTTTGTACCAAATTACTTATTGGTGTTATTGGAATTGTTATGCTGATTGTTGTTAAACTTTCTTTTCCTTGGTCTTATTATTATTTTTTTGTTGGCCATAATATACTTTTCAACAATTTTTTAACTGTAATAGGTAAGATACATAAATTAAAAGTGTAAAGCACTATTTCATTTGAATTCAAAAAGGCAACAACATGATGTTAAACCGTTAAAAATAGCAATGTAACTTAGATTTATGACACTTAGACCAATATAAACTTAAAACATTAAAAAAAGAATAGTTACAGGCTTGGCATGTCTAGTTTTTAGAGACTAACTTATAGGATAAAACGGTTGCTATGGTCGTTGCTATGTGATTTAAAAATACCTTGACGTGTTTGAGAAGAATATTCTTGATACTCTTACATTATTTTTGAAAAAATATTTTTTTATTTTGAATTCTACAATGTTCAATAGTATGAATAACATTTTATTTTATTTTTCACCAAAATAATAGCTGGATACCACCTTAAGCGATTCAGGGAAGATAATGCTCAGTGGGATAGCAAAACCTGAAGCACAGTATTTCAGGACGCGTGGGTGAATAACGTCGAAGCCCATTGATTTTGATTTGTTCAGGTCCAAAAGTTTTTCTTTGACGGATTTGTATGATGCTAGTGTGGTCGGATGGTTTATGCTAGTGGAACGAGTGTTGAATGTTGGTATAGACCCTAGCGGTTCGATTTCGAAAACTGATTGGAAATACTCGTTCAGAGTGTTGCAGATTACTTTAGGATCTGTTTTAGTTTGATTATTAGTTGTTTCAAGTTGACGGTCGTGTGTTTCTTGTTTGCTATTGACGTACGTGTGGATTATTTTTTGTTCATATCTGCTATTATTTACGATTCCCATTTCGTAATCCAGAACAACTGTTTTAACTAATTTTTTTACTGCTTTGCTTGCATTTCTATGCTGTTTGCTTATAGTTGGCTTGTTTTTTTGGCTGGCTGCAATAAATTTGCCCCAGACTTCGCTTTTCAATTTGATAGCATTTGCAACATCTTTGGTAGTATAAATATATAACAACTATGCAGACTATTTGTTGCAAACTATCATTTTGGTTTTTAAAAAACTTATTTTTAGATGATTTAAAAGATTTATCAAACAACAAGAAAAATGAAGAATGCAAAAAAATTAGCAAGCAGCTTTTTAATCTTAGTAAAGAAGAAAATAATACTGGAATGAGTGAAAAGTTTTTAAGCTCTACCCCACTAAGCAACTTTAATATGTAAGTTTTTCTTCTATTTTTAAAAACAAAAATTAAAAAAATGATACAAAATCTTTAATCACCAAACATACATTTTGGATTAAGGTTAACAATATTATTAGAAAATATAATAATATTATTATATAAGAATTATAAGAAATCTTTTATAAATTTATTATATATAGTTGATATTATTATATGAGAATAACGTTATTATAAGAAGCGACATTAAAATATATGCTCAAAATGCATTTTAAGTTTGCATATTTTAAAGTTTGCATATTTTAAAGTTTGCATAGTTTATATTAAAGATTTTGCAGATACCTAAGTTTATATTTCTTTTTTCATTTTAATTCAAAATAAAAATTAAAATTAGCGAAACTGTTTACTTTTTGTAAAATCTCAAGTTGCAACTAATAGAAGTATGAAAATTTTGAGACTTGGAATTTCTTTTTTACTAAACGGAAATGTCATTTCCAAATGTCAAAACTCAAAGCCAATAAATTTTTATTTTGTGAATTCAAATAATAATAGTAATTGCTTTCATAAACCAATATATGCAATTCATCAACTCATGGATAAAAATCAACACATGCAATTCATCAACTCATGGATAAAAACCAATACATGCAATTCATCAACTCATGGATAAAAACCAATACATGCAATTCATCAACTCAAGGATAAAAACCAATACATGCAATTCATCAACTCATGGATAAAAACCAATACATGCAATTCATCAACTCATGGATAAAAACCAATATATGCAATTCATCAACTCATGGATAAAAACCAATACATGCAATTCATCAACTCATGGATAAAAACCAATACATGCAATTCATCAACTCATGGATAAAAACCAATACATGCAATTCATCAACTCAAGGATAAAAACCAATACATGCAATTCATCAACTCATGGATAAAAACCAATACATGCAATTCATCAACTCATGGATAAAAACCAATATATGCAATTCATCAACTCATAGATTATGAACCGTAAAAAGGTCTTTACTTTTACTAATACTCTGTAGCGTTTTTTTTGAGTTACAAGTATGACAATTTCAGGCATTTGGTAAACTCTAAACCCAAGTATATTCAGACTTATATTAAATGAGAATGCAAAAAAGCGATTGGAGCCTGGAAACAAAAAAGCCCATTTGTTCTCCCTAACCCTAACGTAAGGGCATAAAGTTAATAAAATATAAACTGCTATAATAAATTTAAATTCATTGACAAGTTTTGAGTTTGATATAATAATTTTTTAACGTTCAAAAGTTACGACTATGCTAAAATTCTGCCTTCCCTAAAATGAAGGGGTAAATTTCACATGGTCATAAGTATTGAACACTAAAAGAGTTTTAAATGAAATTTAAAACCTGTTTTCAAAAAAAAACATTCTCATTTGACATATTGCGAGCCGAGAACCAGGAGGCCAATTCCAGGTATTTCCATTTTGATTTTTAGATTTAGAGTGTAAAGGTTTTCTGCCAGAAAGTCCTACTGATTATTTAAATAAAGTTTAAATAATCATTTTTGTGTCCAGATTTAGTCGACACACGACCCACTAATTAATGAAAATTTAATGATAAAAAACATTAAAAATACATAATGCGGATACAGCTTCTCGGTTCTCTGCTGACAATACGTATGAAATTATTTAAGCTTGCAGTTTTCACAGTGCCTGAAAGTGTCATATCAAAGCTATTACTACTATAACAACTACAACAACTACAAAAACAGAAACAAGAACAACAACAACAACAACTACTACTACTACTACTACTACTACTACTACTACTAATACTACTACTACTACTACTACTACTACTACTACTACTACTACTACTACTACTACTACTACTACTACTACTACTACTACTACTACTACTATTACTACTGCTTCTACTACTGTCAGTAATTAAAAGAATGGTCGCATAGAAAATGTTTAATATAAAGAATATTTTTTTATTTTGTTAATTTTTTGTTGTTTCTATTAAAGGAATAAAGCAATGTCTATTCAACAAAGCATATGTTGGTCACCAGATAAAGATAACACAAAATTGACTATACCCTGGCCACATGTTGTTGAAAAAAGAATTACAATTTCAAAAAGCTTCAATCACTTTCAAGAACACCCAAAGTTTGTTTGTAAAAAATTGAAAGTTCAAAATGCTTCTATAAAAAGTAAACCATCAAAAATTAAAAAGCTCTGTTTAAAACAAATAAAAGTACCAAACACACAAACTGTGTTAAGTCTTGAGGCAAACTTTAGTATTCTAAATCGAATTACTGACGGAAAAGTATTTTTTCTAGATTCTTCTTTTTCAACTATTGTGAACAAAAAAAATATTTTCCTAAACAATTCAAATAAGCCTATAGGTAACATTGAAAATGCGGAAACTTATCATAAAATTTCAATTGTTAGTAGTGCGAGTAATAAAGTATCATTAACCGTAACAAATAAAAAAGATGTTTTTAAAGTTCAGCCTTATAAATACAAGTTTGAAGCAAAAAGTCATGTTTACTCTAAAACATCACTTACTGTATACAAATTGAAAAGAAAAGAGGTTAAACGAATGACCTTTGAAGAGTGGGTGTTTTTAAAAAAGCAATTGCAAAATAAAAATAAGACCTTTGAAACATCATCAGTTGCGAATTCATTAAAAACAAAAAACCAAAAATCGCATCCTGTCTCATTTGAAACATGGTTACAAAGAAAAAGAGCACACGAAGAATTAAAAAAACAAAAACAAGCTGAATTAGATTTGAAAAAAGAAAACGAATCTTTGCTCACGAGCAGTTCTCGTCTTATGGATCCACACCAACGTACTTTTGAAGAGTGGTTTTTAGAAAAAAAAAGCCAGCAAAAGCACCAAGAAAAAAAAGTTTTTAAACGAAAAGTATCATCAGCTGAAGATAGAGAACTTATTTTTAATTTGTGGCTATTGGACAAGTTTAAAGCTGAGATTCAAACTGAAACAGAACTTTTGATGAAGGAACGCCTTCTTTCAAGCTCTATGGATTATTAAAAAATACTTTTATATTTGTTAATATTTTATCTACTTTTGCTTTATACACGCTTTATTTTTTTACATAGACACATTTTTTTAATAGTTATATTTATTTATATCATTAGACTGCTTGTATATATTGCTTATACTAATAAAAAAAAATATCATTAAAATGTTTTTATTATTCTAACAAAAGCTAACTAAAAATATGATTAAAATTTAATAAATTTCCAGTTAAACAATAATAAAAGCAGTTAATATAAACAATAATAAAAGCAGCTAATATAAACAATAATAAAAGCAGTTAATATAAACAAAAGAAAGAAAAAAGTTTGATGATTATTTAGCCCCTCAGCTATCAATTCAATTCAAGAATTTAGCTTTTAAAATCTTTCGATTAAAGAAGATTTTAAAACTTTAAAATCTTCTTCAATCGAAATAATTAAAAGATTAGTAACGTGATCCTGGCCCATGGTCAAACGGAGAGAGTTTTTACAATTTTCAGTTTACTAAACAATTGTTTAGCAACTGACACAGGAACAGTGTTTAAAATGAGGAGCATTTGTACTGATAAAGGCGTTCAAGCTTCTTCTCCAAGGTTTGATTGAGTAGCTGCATTGATTTCCTTGCTTGAAAATTGTTTTGCAAGCATTGTTATAATGGCAAACTTCCTTAATAAGATCCTCTTAGTTCACATCTCTCATATAAACCGAGAATGTTCTCAAACTTTATTTTGAACGGAAAGATCATCATAATCCAATTAGATAAATAAAAACATAATTCCAACTATATTGCTCGTCTTAAATCTTTAATCAATCTTCTAGATCAAATTATCTAAACCGCTCATCAATTTAAAACGCTCACTTTTTTTGTTTGGATGTTTTGGAAAATGAGCTGTGTTTGATGGCTCACCGTGAAAGCGCTTCAGTTTCCGCTTTTGCTTTATTAGCGAGTTTTAAATCCTAATTGCTTCAGATTTTGTAAGACGACTAATGTCGTTAACAGCAGTAAAGGTTCTGCATTGAATTGTAATTATACAAATTAAAAAGATGATAACCATTTTTTAAAGGCTCTTGCTTGGCTGAGTTACTCAAATCAAATCAAATGTATTCTGAAATAGATTTTACATTTCATGGAATATTTAAATAAACTACAAGTACTATTACTATATTAATATACTATATACTATTACTATATTATAGTACAAGTACTATATTAAGAATTATTAAAAAAATTAATAATAATATCAATTATTTAAATAGTTATTTATAATAGTTAGGGTTAGAAACAGAACAGCGATATAAAAAACATTTTTAATTTTAGAAAAAGTTAAGAAAGAGCAAGTATTAGTAGTAATAAATCATAATTAAAATGAAGAAAGTAGAAAATAAATCATCATTAAAATGAAGAAAGTAGAAAATAAATCATCATTAAAATGAAGAAAGTAGAAAAGAATTTTAAAAAAGATCAGGTAATACCAACAGTTAAGCGAATAAAGTTAAGATCGACAATAGATAGTTAGCAGTAGAGTAGCATAGGAATTAGGAAGAGTACTTGTTTAATAAAAATTAAATAGACGGTTTTTGAATTTGTAAAATGTAGGAAGAGATTTTAAATGTGAAGGGAGACTATTCCATGTACATGTGCCCTGATATTTAATAGATTCATGGCCTTAATAAACAGTTCTATGTTTAGGTATAGATAACTTGAAGCTTTTAACTGATGGAAGTTGTTAACAAGTATTTTTTATTAGTAACAAAATCATTAAATGGAGTAGGTAAGGTTTTATGTTGCTGTTTCCAAACAAACAAACAGTTGCAGTGTCTAATAAGGTCTTTTAATTTTAGTAACTTTGATGTGTAACTATGACGATGTGAGGCTCAGATTTAAAATGAATTTGACAGTTTGTTAGCACCTGTTTGAAATTAGTTTGTTTTTCCACAGATAGAATCCTTGGATAATTTTATTGTGTAGAAGAGGAGGGTAGATTCTTCATCCAAATGCACCTGTTTGACTTTACGCTGTTGCTGAAATTTCTATAAGATATTTTATTTTGGTTTTAAGGTGATTTAATGTCTTGCACTTTTCTTCCTCTTTGTAAGATTTGCAATTTTGCACTGAAAACGAGATTTTATCCAAAATATTCAAAAATATTCCCCAAAGTTCTAAAATATTCTTGAATATATACTATATACTTGAGTCTGAAATAGAAAATAAATAAAATATAGCAATGATATAATAATTATATAGAGAGAACTCGCCCCATCTAGAGCAAGATCACATAGTACAATTGGAATCAAAGCAAAAATAATAAAATTAAATAAAACCATCTCTAAATGCTTTGTTCATAAACAATTGTAAAGTTGACTTGAATCTGTCTAAAAATAGACTAGAACGTCATATAAAAATTCATTGTAAAATTGAAACTCATAGTTAAACTGCGCGATAAGTAAACAAAATGAAACAAAAAAGCTATTTCATACAAATCTACCTCGAATATATGAGGTTTCAGTTTCGTTACAAAAATAAATGGTAATTGTTATTACTCTAGTAAACACTCGAAGGAAACCATGAGGTCACCACTGATCTCAAAATAATAACTATAACAAAAATAATTATTATTTTGAGATCAGTGGAGGTCACTTTAAATTTTATCGGTTCTTGTTGACTATGAGGTCAAGAACCGCTAAAATTTAAGCTGATAAATAATAATAATAAATAATAATAATAAAATTTAAGCTGATAAATAACTTATTAATAACTTTTATTTTGATTTAAATTCTAAGAAACAAAATAAAATATTAATAACTTAATAGATTATATATGGTATTATAATTGATATCATTTTAAAACGAGTTCTTTTTTTTTTTGTTTCTGAAATTAACATTTTAAATCTTTAAAATAAATTTTTTCCGTCTATAAGTAATATATAAAATATAAATATAAATAATAAATATAAATATAAATAGTAATATAATAAATATAAATATAAATATAAATAATAAATATAAATATAAATAGTAATATAATAGATATAAATATAAATATAAATAATAAATATAAATAGTAATATAATAAATATAAATAGTAAATGATTAAATTGAAACTGATATTAGTCATAAAAGCTAAAACCCTAATTTTATTTCCTCCTTACAGCAAATATATATTGTTAAAAATAATAAGAGAGGAAACTAATCAAAATTTGTAATTTTGATTTATTTCTTCTTTTAGACTGAATTATAGCATGATCCGCACTAAAACCATATTATTTTTAGAAAATTCAAATTAACCTGGTAATTAATTCTGGTTTGATGTTTTGATGTTTTGTTGTATTTTTATTTTTTGAAGTGTTTTTAGAAAATGGTTGGGTTTTCCAATTACCGAAATTATTCCGCATAATTCTCCAAATTCATACAGAGTTCAATGTCTCAACCATTTTTACAATTGTAAATCGAATCACTAACTCTTTTATTCAAAAATTGATTGTCAAATAACTTTAACTAGTTGCATTCAACCCTTTAAATTGCAATCTTGTGTTTCCCAACTCCACTTTTTTAATCTGCGGTACCTTTAAAAACCACTTTAATAAACTTCTCAAGGGTTCGTTCATAAAAAAAACTTTTGAACTGTGAGATAAATAGTTGCATACTAAGTGAACTATATATGTACACATAAACACACACACACACACACACACACACACATATATATATATATGTATTTATATACACATATACACCCATGCATAGACATTAACACCTATAAATACACACACATCAACAGAGACGTACAAAACATATATACTCACTCACAGGCATACGTCTTTTTTTTTTTTAATTGATATAATTATACCTAAAAAATATAAACTACAGAACATGGTTTTGTGATAAAATAAAGAAAGCGGTAACTCAAAGAAGAGTTAAAAAATAATAATGTTAAATAATTGCTAAGTAATTTTTTTTGTTTTTTTGGTTCTTTATTACATGAAAATTTTTCTACAAATATATAAAAATAAAAGTTTACAATTGAAGATTATTTTAAAATAATGATAGAAATTAAATAAAAAAAAAGAACATACAATTCGGCTTCTTCTTTTCAGTATGTCTTAATTTTTTTGACGAATTTTTCATTTTTCTTCAAAATTATTATTTTCTTTTTTTTTTTTCTACTTTTTTTCTTTTGTTTTAATTTTAAGTATCATGATTGTCTTTGTCGAGTATTGATTCACGATTGTAAATAGAAAACAAGCAAACAAAAAACAAAAAAAAAACAAAATACTTTATCTTACATGAACAAGTTAAAATTAAGTTAATATATAAGGTCGTAAAAAAAACAAAAAAAAAAACAGGGGTGTGGAGTCGTAAAAAAAAGTAACGACTCCGACTCCGACTCCAGTTGTTGAAACTTATTAAGTGCAACTTCGACTCCGACTCCAAAGCAAAATTTTTGAAAAATTCTTTGAATTCTTTAAAAAATATTACGCAATAAGATAAAAAAAAATTTTTTGACAATGAAACGTTCTTTGAGGTTTATTATGAAATGAAAATTTTTTCTAAAAATACTGTAATAAAATAGTTTTTTGAAACAACATTTATTCCTTAAAATATATTTCTATAAAAAAAACCATGCAAGATGTTTTTCATCAAACAACTCAATAAAAAAACTTAAAAATGGGTGTTTTTAAACCATATTTGCATTTTGCATTTTAAAACACCAATTGGTTTTTTTAAATGTTATTGGAAAAAAAAAACTTTTAGAAATCTGTGTTAGGTTGTGGTGTCACCCGGTGCAGTATGTCTAGTGTTAGACTTTACGGGCGCGATTAGTTTTTCAAAATGAGTTTAAGACTTTGTTTTAAAGAATCATTACGTTCTTCAGAAATGTCTTTAATAGTGTTTAAAACTATTACTCCATAAATATGTTTCGCGAGATAAAATATTTTTTTTTTACAAAAGTACTGTAAAAAAATGGTTTTCTAAAATATAAATTTTTACTTCTTAAAATATATTTATATAAAAAAAACTGGGCAAGATGGTTTTTCATATAACAACTCAACAAAAAAAAAAACTTAAAAATGGGTGTATTTAAACCATATTTGCATTTTGCATTTTAAAACGCCAATTGATTTTTGTAAATATATTATTAACGCAATTTTATTCGAATAAGT